CTGCTGACGGGCACCGTCGGCCCCCATGCGCTCGCTGGCCTCTGTGTGCGAGGGCCGATGGTGTTAGGCAGCAGCCGCCCCAGCCCCTGCCTCACCTTACCTTGCCCCAAGGTAATAGCATCCCCACCCTGCCCCCTGCCTCACCTTATCCCACAGGATGAGCCTCCTGCGCACTGCTCCACCTGTCAGAAACCCCCTGGATCTCCCCCAACCCTATCCAGCCCCCACAAGCGTCCCTCCCCATGAGCAACATGGAGGTGGCCACGCCCACCCCAGCCACGCCCACCCAGTCGGCCGTGACCACTGCAGCCATGCCCACCCTGGCCACACCAATCCAATGAACCATGTCCACCCAGGGGGCTACGCCCACCCAGCACCCGGTGATAAATAAGTGGGTTTTGAGTTGCAGTTTGGGCACCTGGTCTCTAAAAGGTTCGCCATCACTGCCATAAAGTATGATTTGAAAAATGCTATCAGAACGGCTTTTCCAAAGAAAACAACACCAAGCAGATAATATAAAGCAACTCCTAATTTATTAGTACATCATCATAATCGTTGCTGTCTTGCTGGCCGGCAGGAGTCACTGTTTTGGAAATAATGATGATATCATCATAGTCAGTCATAGTGCTTGATGCATTTATGTTGCTACTGGCACTTTCTGCAAAGTCAATAGTAGTATAATGTAATTCAGAATGGCTGTCTGGTATTTCGTAAACAGTGTCCTCCTGATAAAAAAAGATTAATATTGTTATTTTTTCACGTTAGAGCTCTAATAATACATATGTTAATTTAATTACTATTCTTAATTTGGTTAATAACTGGTTAGGTTTATTCACTAACTACAGTGCTTCCAATAATTTTCATTAATGTGACTATCTTAATTGTGGCTAGTCAAGTAACTAAATCCCAAATGTTAGTAAGATCTAGACTTGGTTACTATTAGTGTAAAATTAAAATCAATCAAAATAAGTGTAAAAGAATTATAACCTATATGTGTACAAATCCTCATAGTCCAGATGCATTAGTTTCATTATGCTTTAAATTTAAAAAACAAGAAATCCTGGGTTGGTAGTTGTATAGGCATTTTAATATGTACAACTGTCCTTGAAAGCCATTCCACATCTCTCATTTTTTTAAAAAACCCATAAAATATAAGAATTGAAGGAATTGTAGACACTATATTCCAACTCCTAGTTCAGTCGTTTTCTGAAACAACTCTAATTCTGCTTTGCCTTTACTTTATGGCCTTCAGCAGGTAAAGACAGCTGTCGTGTCTCTTACATTGTTCTCTTTTCCAACTGTTCATACATTTTTCATTTTGGTCTCTTCTCATCTTGCTTGTTCTTCTCTTGCTATATTCCAGTGCATGAACCCTTTTCTTTCAAAAACATTGAAGCCAGAATATTCTACATGTGATCTGACTAAAGCAAAATAAAGAAGCCTGGAACTGCATTGACGTTTTGTGCACCTTTATCTAATTTTTGATTCATATTTAATTTGTAACACACTAAGACGATCATACATTTCATGCATGTCCAGCTGCCCACAACCTCAAATTTCATGCTAATGTTTTCTTACCAAATTGAAAGATTCTGCATTTGTCTCTGTTGAAATTCATCTTGTTGGTTTCTATTTGAACTTGCCAATCTGAATCTAGATGCTATTCTCCAGTATCTTTGTTATCACCCAGTTGTGTGTCATAACTTGTACAATTGTTTTATAACAAAAAAAGTGATTTTATCCATATTATATTCCTCTAGAGGGATGTTGTTGAGCCTTAAAGTATTTTTTTAAAAAACATTAAATTCCATTGGTCCTAGTAAAGTACAGATATTGTTTTATGGATAGTACTGTATAGTTGGTTGCACAGTCAGCCAGATGTTTAAACTGGATTTGGCATTTCAAGTCCTTCAAAAGGACCTGGGAGAAGTATGTTATTGTTTGATGGTATTAGAGATGTCATTGCAGGACATTTGCAATATTCCAAAATAGCTATTCAAGTGGTGCTCCAGATGCTTTAGGATTGCACCCAGGGAGCCTGTTACTATTGGTACCTATCTTTGCTTTCTTTTGCCACAGTCGTTCTATTTCTATTTGTAGGTCTTTGTATTTTGTGATTTTTCTCCAGTTCTTTTTCTTCCATTCTGCTATTTCCAGATACTGCAATATACACTATCCAGACTTTTTTGCCTTTCATATTAACAATTATTAAGTTGGGGTGTTATGTGGCAGGTGCTTGTCTGTTTGAATTCTAAAGTCTCCGACCACTTTAAATTTTTGATTTTCTATTACTTTGTCTATTTTATGGTCCCACCAGTTTTTCTTTCAAAAACCTGCAAATGGTATTTCTTGCAGATCTTCCAATGCACCATTGTTGCTACTCAGTCATGCCATTGTTTGTAGTCAGCCTGTGTGACTTCTTAGCATGGTACTTTACATGGGAAATTCTATTTTATCCCCCCAATCACAGCTTGTAAAATAGAGTGTACTGGTCAAAAATCACTCCTTGAATTTCCATGACTGGGATAGATTGAACCTGAGTTTTCCAATCCTTAAACATAATAATAATATCTTCAGATAATTCACTTTATGGATATTAAGCACAGGTGCTGGTATATACCTCAGCCACATTTCCTTACCAAGCAAGCCTAGAACCAAAAAGTTAAATTAAACAAAAGACTACTTACATCTTTTCTCACTGCATGTCTTCTTCTAAAATGAGACCAAGGTTTTTTGCTGCAATATAAATATTAAAGAAACAGCTAAAGGGGAATGATCAGCCACAGTATTAATGATTTCATTGTGTGAATCAACATTATGCTCGAATCTATCAGTTTTATGAATGCTTTCTTTTTCTATGGATTTTCCTGTTGGTTTTTGTTTGCTTTTGTTTTTTGACTCTATTTTAGATTTCTTTACTATCTCTTATCTTGACTTTTGTTAGTTTTATTGATCATTGCAACATGGTGGAAATACGGTACCACTGCTTATTTCTCTTTCTGCAATATTCTGCACATAAAATCAAGACAAAACCAGTACCAGCATTTTAGACAATTTATTTTCTCTTTTGTCTTCAGTAACTTTCTTTCTGCTTTGACTTTACTGTGCAAACTGTTCCTATCTTTTCTTCAATGATTACAGTTTCTGCAATTTTTAAAAGGCGCATACAGTATCTTGATTAGGTTCTCAAAGTCTTACAGAATAATAAGCATGTTTTGAGTCACTGATGGTCATCATTGCTAGTGATGGAAGGTCCAGAGGGAGAGACTAGTTAATTAGTTAACTTTAACTAGTTGTTAAAGGAGCAAACTCTGTTTTTCCATACATTTTAAAACAATACATGGTAAGTTATATTGCAATCCTATACATATGTAGTAGAATCTCCTTCAAATGGAATTTTCCTGCTGGCTGCATAAAAACATTTATAGAATTTTTTTTGGTAATGTTGTTGAAGTATCTTATCATTGTCTTGTTTTTTGGACATTTTTCAACTTCCCAGAGTAGCTTATGGTTCTGGTATTCCTTAGTGTCTTCAATCCACAGGTCAAGCAGAACGAACTCTGGTTTCATTTTCAATCCCAGACAACATCAGGGAATGAATCAAGAATCTCATTTCTCATCTTTGTCCATTTGTTCATCAATCATTCAGTCACTCACACAAATGCAGCATTTGCAACATTGACTAGGTGAAAAGCCTAGTAAGCGGCACCTAATTTTGATGACTGTCTATTTTCAAAATTATCCAGCAGTTATTCATATCCACATAAGAAACATAGAGTTATTATGAGTAAGGGTTCTTACTTCCATATTAGCAAAAATGAAATACATTTCCAATAAGTAATACATGGAACAATTTAAATTATATTGCTTAGTGATTAGAGGGAAAATAATACTTTTCTCTTGATAAAGTCTAATCTGTAGAATCTTATTTCCCTTTAGTTTTAGATAGCTAAATTCAACATACTTCAAACCATATAAAATGCATAGGAGGAAAGCATATTTACAGAGTAGTCTCTCCACTTACATAATTAAAAAATCACTTTTGAAATCATCACAATAAGAGAACATGTGACCTTGGGAAAACTTGTGACATTGTTTAATTATGGTAATTGTAGGGACTCAAGCTTACAATGAAAAGGAGGATGAAACATTGATCTTGAAACAATCTGGAACTTACCTTTTTTTAACTACTTTGTTTCCCATCTCCTCTGTTTTGACAACATTAAATTAACTTTCTCTTTCTATCTTCTTTCTTCTTTGGATCTGTTATTACAATTGTACTGTTGACTGGAAAGGCCAAAAGAAAACTCCTGTCAGAAAGTCATAAACATTCTTTCACATGTTCTCTATAATCAAAGCATCATCACATTGCAGTGTGGGAACAAAAGTTCCTCTCCCGTATCATCTCTGGGGGTGTAGTTACCAAACAAATGACATCATTTCCCAACAGTGTAAGAGAACAGACTGCTATAGTTACTTAAATCTTGACTTTCTAGTAACCCTACTTACATACCAGCTATAGTTTGGACTTTTTGCAGGAATCATGAGACAGAAAGATCAGCCAGGGTTTGTTTGGTAATATGAGTAATTTCATATGCTTCATAACAGAAACAAATCCAGAGTCCATTACTTAGTTTTTGCATAGCATGTGACAAACCATAGATCCATACATATTCCAACAAAACCAAAAATTGTGAAGAAATTGAAAAGCAACTATTATTCAGGAGATACTTGGAAATACAATGAACTATATTGTTTCGGTTCAATGAACTTGTGTTCATATAGCAGCAACACAAACCTTTATCATTTCAGGTAGTGGTTAGCAAGGCAACCACATTTTTCTTTTTATAGAGTTTCTTGTCAACTGACAGCATGTGGTTTTAAAGGAAAATTGGCCTCATACCTAGAAGTAAGCTAAACTCATCTATTTACAGCATATTGCTAAGTAAACTATCTTTTTGAAAGAAATGGAATGGTGAGGCCAATGACTCTTTTGTAACATGGGATCTAAGTGTTTTGTTTCCATTTATATTAAACACTGGGAAATTCAGAATGAACTGAGTGACCAAGAACATATGATTGAGTTGGAACTACCCTACAGTGGTACATCTACAGGCTACCCTAAATTGTAAAAAATTCAAATTGGATCCTGCTTCTGAGTAAGTGAGTATAGGATTGAGTTAAGCATGTATATTTGAAAAATCAATTGTCATAGAATTCCCCTTGATGTGATTTTATATGGACTTCCTCAAAATAAAAAAACAGCTTTCAGTTCTCTTTAATTGCTCTGTAATAAGTTAAGATTCTGAACGTAACTTATCAGTGCCTTAACATCCCACAGAGTTGAAATGATCTCTGTATTCCTTGTTATCTGTGTCCTCTGGACTCAATACTCTGTAGGTGAGTTTGGGACAAGCTTTTCAGATTATTATAGTCAACCTGGTGCCCTCCAGATATTTTGAACTACAACTTCCACAGTTCCTTGCATCTGGTCCAACAGACTGAACCTAATGATAGCTGTAATTCAAAATAACCAGAAGAGAGCAAGTTGTTTGCTTGTTGATTATCTTTATTGCATGTTAGTATTGTGGACAAAGCCATGTGATTAAAAGACTTTGAGCGGTACTTCTCTGAGATATGATAATCTCAACAGTAAATTTCAATGTTTTTCTTGTATGATACCAATGATAGCAGAATAGATTGAATGATATGCCAGATTCAGATAAGGTGAAGAAAAAAATATTGATAGCAGGGTAATATCAGATTGTGATATGTTACTGGGGCTTTCTAGATTATATGATAAACTAATACATGACTTTCTCATAAAATATGTCTATAGCAAGTTAGAATGCAAAAGCTGTTCCTCCAGGACACAGCCTGTCTATTCTGGTTTCTCTCATTGCTACTGCTAATAGGCTAGAAGTTATTTCATGTATTTATTTATTACTATTTGTAACTGCACTTAGAGGAGGGCTTAATTAAATAATGCTAAGGTCTGGGTAAGTATAATATTCAGAATATTGCTGATGTGGGTGATATAAATTTAACTTATTTTGCCATTAAGAATTCATTTTTTAAAAAGACCTTCAGAATTTAGTACCTTAGCCTTTCTTTTCAGGTGACACAGAAGTGATTCACAAGCCTGTCCAAGCTATCACAACTGGAAAAAATGTGACTCTCTTCTGTCAGTTGGCCAAAAATCATGATATTGTTCAAGTCACCTGGCAAAAAAACCAAACCAACATAGCAACTTACAGCAAGGCTTCTGGCGCTACAGTGCTGAGTAACCAGAGAAATATCCATCTTTCCCCGAGTAATTTGACTTTTTCTGCCATCACTTTCAATGGGGTGACATTCAAGGATGAAGGCTGTTACAGCTGCATCTTCAATACATTTCCCTTAGGACCTATTTCAGGCAAGACATGTCTCAAAGTCTATGGTAAGTTATATTGTTTTATTGTCTGGATCTTCAACAATTGCAGATCATTTCACACTAGCAGCATTACATATAGCAGCTTTAGAACATTTAAAGGGTGCAAGAAATAGTTTCTCTGAACAAGAGAAAAGTTTCTCTGAACTAGGGTAAATTGATTGCCTCTGTTCCATGACTTAAGGAAAATCACATTAACTATGGTAATATCAGAAGTTATTTAAGTTGGTGCTGAATTCCCAGCCAAGACACAAACCTGCACAATTTTATTACAGAAAAAAATATATATTTCGCAAAGATTGGTGAACTGATTAATGAAGTATCATGCATTGTATAATTCCAGTATCTGGTTTCCTAAAGGCATTAATATTTATGAGCTTCTTAAGGTGATTTAGTAATTTCTAAATGTTTTGGATGCAGTTCCCCAATGGGTTTAAGCTGTCTTGCCCCATCTCATTCCATCCTTTCCTTTTTCTTTTTTAATTCAATCATGATTACCTTGTAAGGAGTTTGGTTCCTTTTTCTCTCTCTTTTATCTTTCAGTATATTATCTTGCATTCTTATCAGGTGTGTGGAAAAAAAGCCTGCAGATTCACAGCTTGATTTTTAAGTCTCCTCTAACACCTTTCCTGCCCTATAGCTAATGTCTTCTGCTTCTCTGACCTTGCTCAGGTGTTTGCTAGTAAAGAAAAAGAATTGTACGAAGGTTATTGTCTAAGAACTTGTTGCTTGTTCATCCTCTGTGCCAAATTAGATCATACTGAGAGATCAAAGCAGATCACTATCATTCATGGTTGTTTTGCCTCTGGGTTCTTCTGATCAACACATTCCATCTTTCCAGTGATTATCTACACTGCTTGGTTGCCCTGTTGCCAGAATGGGCAGGCAACCATTGTTGAATAGCAGAAATGGGTGATGCCACCTTCTACAGTATTAATCAATATAAAAGTAACATAGGAGATGTTTTTCTGCTCCCTTTCCAAAATTCACCCTTCCATATGTTGCCAGCTTGGGTGTTTCTGTCCATTTTGGATAGTGTATTTTATTTTACTAGAAGATAACATCCTGGAGCTTATTGGTTATTTCGCAAAGACAGGAATATTCCTTCAATCTAATTCATGTTTACTATAGCCAATAATACTTTTTAGAGCAGGGGTGTCAAACTGCCGGCCCATGGGTCGGACGCATCACGTGAAAGCTGCACCCACCCCATTGCCGGCAATGGCAAAACTGTCCCAATACGTTGCACGATGTCATGTGACATTGTGAGTTTGACATGTCTGTTTTAGAGCTACTGAGACTAGGTATGCTTGATGACTCATATAATAGAAATCCAGGTGATGATTAGAATTAGAAATCTGAATTTATTTGTATAATAGGCTATGTATTTCTAAAATAGGATTGTGTAATTTTTAATTCAGATATTTTTCCTAGGTGTTTGTGAGTGGGCCACAACATGATACCATAATATTAATATAGAGGGCTTGGGGGAGGCTTATACCAAATTATATAAACACTGTAACTATGCTTTGCAATACACATTTAGTTGTGTTGTGTAAATTAGTCATTAAAAGTTAAGATTATAGGCCAGATTTAAGGAAGAGATTTGTGATAGCATTTTAATCATCATTCCTTCTCTGAAGAAATAACAATTAATTTAACAATTGTTTAACATATTCATAAATATCTGTGATGCCTGCCTTTAGATAATTTGTGGTGTTAGTAATGAAAATAATGCAATCATTTCACAATAGAAGAACAGATGATTTGTGTTTACATGTTAGGATACATGTAGGCTATGGTGATATACCAAAAATATCCTGAAAGAATAACAAGCACTTCTAAACAGTTACCAGAGAAATGATATGAACATGTGCATATAACTTCCAGGAGATGAACTGGGATCAAGAGAAAATCTTTCCCTTTATTGCTCTCTCCTCTACTGTGACTTAATAAATGAGTAATTTAGTTAATACTAAGTACCATGTACAACCTAACTCTTCAGAAGCAAGATTAATAGAAATTTTCTTACTCCCAAAGCATAGCTATAAATATTAATTGAACAATTTGTTTTAAAGCTCTAACAGAACCTGAAATAAATGTAAGGCAAGTTACTAATCCAGATAATATGGAAGAAATAAGAGAAATAAACTGCTCAGTAACAGGAAGACCAGCTCCAGTAATTACTTGGAAGACGAAGAAATCTCTTCAGATAAAGCCAGAATTATATATGATCCCACACTCAAATAAGACAGTAACTGTGATCAGCACATTTACTCAAGTCTTGTCCAAGACAGTCTCAGAAAATTCAGTAATCTGCGTTATTCAACATCCATCTTTAAACACTTCACAAGAGTTGACATTACATGAAACTGTAATCAAAAAAGGTGGGTTTAAAGTCAAAATTCAATTCCTTTCCTTTTCCTTTTCCTTTTCCTTTTCCTTTCTTTCCCTTCCCTTCCCTTCCCCAACCCAGTTTCTTCTCTCCCTCTCTTCTCTTAGCTTGTCTTAGACGTTACCTACTAGTTTTCTTTGCAAACAGTTTCTTCATGTTATTTTATGGAGCATATACAATAAGTGAGCCCAAAGGAGACCAGTCATTTCCTTGATCAAATCTATAATTCTCTAAAGGTGTCTTTTTTTAACTAGACTTGCTAGTTTTACAAGAAACCTTAGAACAAACCTACTTTCCCAACCTGTTTCCATTCCGGATGTATTAGAGATTATAACTTGCAGAATTTCTAATTGGCCTCTCTAAAAGCAAGCCATTTCCCCGACTTAGAGAAGTAGATAAAGAATATTTATTGTAAAGAATGCATTTAAAAATTGTATTTCTGTAGAAGTGTATTAGGAAAAAAGCTCATTATAGGTTTTATAGACATTTTCAACACTTAGTCATTATCATTACTGCTCCAATATTGATCCGTCATCTGTATTAGAAATGTTATATCATGGTTATGTTATTGATAACATATGTCCCTAGGATTCTTTTATAAAGCCAGATTTAATGCAGTTCCCTGTGCACCTATTCCTTCTTTTATTATTTTGTCAGCCAATTCTTATTTATTAATTCCTCTTTACAGCTCAAAACAAACCTCAAAGAATTGTTATTGCAGCTATCTGTATACTGGTTTCCCTATTTCTCCTGGGGCTATTTATCTTTTTCATATACCGGCATAGGAGACGAACACTAGTAGAAAAAGAGCAAGATCTTCCATGCTGGGTAAGTCTCAAATATATCCTGTGATATCTATGGAACAATGAAATGCCCCAGCACAGTGAGGTTAATTAGATTATAGGTGATAATTAGAGCTAATTTCAACTTCAGTCCTCTAGATATTTGAACAACAGATTTTGCTGACCAAAATGAGCAACAAAGTCAGGGGATACAGCTGAATATATCTACACATACACATAGGATCTTCATGAAGGAGATTGGTGAAGGATGGATAGCCAAGGGACAGAGAAGCAAAAATAGAAGCAAATAAGATGTGATCTAGACCAGGGCTTTTCAACTGGTCGTACATGTACCACTTGTGGTACTTTGCCATGTGGCAGGTGGTATGCGACTGCTAGCCAAGTGTGGCAGGGGAGGGGAATGAGCCTAAGCAGCCTAAGGGAAAGGCAGCTGCAGCTGTAGGACTGTCTGGGCTCAGCAGAAGCCCCAGGAGACAGCAGGGCTCCAGCTGATAGGCTCCAGCTGATTGGCGCTTCTGGAAGCAGCTGGAGCTGGAGGTGAACTGAAGAAAAAGGGAGGGAGGAGAGGAGAGGCTATAAAAGGTGGTGGTTTGGGTGGGGGAAGGGGAAAAAAGACAACAGGAAAGGTTTAATCCCTTTAAACAAATGAAATTAGTTTTACCCCCTTTAATTGAGTCTGTCTATGGCTTTCAGAAAGTTTTCTTTGAAGGTAAAGAGGCTTAATTTAAGACTAAAGCTTTTGGCAATTGCCAGAGCCTTTCAGTCTAGGTTTGCAACTTTGTGACACGTCACATGCCTGAGGCAACTTAAAGAGAAAAAAAAAACTGGAGGCTTATTTTGTGAGCCTTTCTTGCTTTGTACTTGATTCCTGTGTCTTTAAGAGTACAGGGAAGGGATGGGGGGGGGAAGGAGAACTCAGAAGGGAGCGAGGAAGAAGGGCTGACCAGCTAGCTCAGGAGTCTACAAACTTAGCAACTTTAAGACTCTGTGGACTTCAACTCCCAGAATTCCTCAAGCAGCCATGAGGGCTGAGGAATTCTGGGAATTGAAATCCACAAATCTTAAAAGTGCCAAGTTTGAAGACCCCTGAAATAGTTGGTAGTGGTGCATATTAATAAACATGGATAAATTCATCATATATTTGTCAGTGCAAAGGGAAAGTGATTCAGCAAAGGAACAGGCACCGAAGAAATTAAAACTGGTAGTTTTTTTTCTTTTTTTCCTACAGTTTGTAATATTTTATTAGATTATAGAATAAAATACAAAAATACAAAAGCAAATCATAGGACACAGTGGGGAGGAAAAAGGGGGAAAAGGGAGGAGGAGAAGGGAAAAAGAATACACTTCCTCTGTTGCAGTAGAAGGAAGCATTAACATTGAACCTCAACTTTTTATTTTTCCATAATATTATAAACTAGCCATTTCTATAACAACAAATGAATCTAATCAGTAAAACCCAAATCCCCGCCCTTTTTTTAGTCAAGTTTTTTTTAAAAAAAATAAAATTTTATTAATTTTTATAATTAAACAATAAGTAATATGATGCATTTATAACACAAACACAAAAAAAGAAACAATCCAACTCAATACATTATCGGAAACGCTCGGCAGTCCCCGCCTTGCCTCCACCCTCATCCACTTACCTTTCCTTCCTACCTCTAGCCCACAACCTCTCCTCCTTCCTCCTTCCCACTTCTACATCCCCCCTCTTCCTGACCAGTGGGGAGGAAAAAGGGGGAAAGGGGAGGAGGAGAAGGGAAAAAGAATACACTTCCTCTGTTGCAGTAGAAGGAAGCATTAACATTGAACCTCAACTTTTTATTTTTCCATAATATTATAAACTAGCCATTTCTATAACAACAAATGAATCTAATCAGTAAAACCCAAAATCCCCACCCTTTTTTTAGTCATCAGTTTTTGACACCTTGCTAAGCACTGGTGGTACTCAAATATTGTCATGTCCTAAAAGTGGTACAATCTGTGAAAAGGTTGAAAAGCCCTGATCTAGACTTTCAATACCGCTTTTTAGTAGGACTGAGAAAGGCAGGATCATTTTTATACAAATAATTGATGGGTACACCGGATAATATGATGGGATTGTTGGGGGTAGAATTAATGTTTCTACCCATCCAAGGAGTAAGAAAAGTAATCTCTATTTCCATGCTAGTTTTACCAGCAGAAAAATTGAATCTCTGAATGAAGTGATTCCGATCAATAATGGCCCCAAGCAATATTAGCAGAGCACTTCAAGTTCTGAAACCAATGAGTTGCTTTTTTCTTAGCTGAAATTTCTGTTCTGAACGGATTACAATTTTACACTCTAGAACTTCTCCTTAATTTCAGCCTTAAAATATGTTATTTCTTTGCCAGGTTGTTCCACTTTGTTCTGGAAGAACATTATGTAGAAAAAATGGCTACACAAAGAAAAGAGCCCCTGTGAAATCTGTCACTGAAGAAAAGGTTCTGGACACATGAAATTTTTCTATATAAAATGTGATAAAAATCATGTGATGGAAAGGCATCAGCACATAGTTCTGAGGCCTTGCTTGGGCACACAGAGGAATAGGCAGCCAGAGGGCTACTTAGCACCTAAAGGCCATCCCCTTGCCTTTTAATTAATTTTTAGCATTCCTTGCCTCTTTTAAATCTTATATATAATTTTATGCTTTTAATATTATATTTATATACTGCCTAGACTCCTTCTGTGAGAGAGATGGGTAATTCCTAAATATGCTAAATAAATAAAAATAATTATAGTTTCCCTATGAATACTCCTTATTCTGGATTTTTTTTTTCAAACTTGGCATTGCCTATGTGTTTACAATTAATGTTTACGTGCCGTATTCTATGTAAGGTGTACTGAGCACCAGAAATTAAGCTAAATAATGTAGTAATATTCAATAAAATATTTATTTGCAAATGAGACTGTACTGTTTTATTTATTACATATTATATTCATTGCAGCAATCAGTATTTGGGAATAATAATTTCTAAATAATTTCATTTATGACAATTGAAATGATTCTTATAGTAAAAATAAGACAGGACAGTAATATAACTTTGCTAAAGATACAATTCTAGTTTTATTACAAAATTGTAAAAGATGACTTATATGGAATTTTGAAATAAAAAATAAAATGAACACACACACAACAGAAACACACACATACAATTACAACTTCAACAAGAATACAAAAATATCACTATTGAAATATATTAATTGTATCAATAAAGACCAATTGAAAGTAATTCAGAATGTGGTGGTGCAAATAGTTATGGATGCCCCTTGATGTATTATAAAATATGTTATCAAATATTTCTGCTAAGTGAATTGTACTTAGGTAAAATTTAAGGTGTTGTTTGTCATCTATAAAGCTTGAATGGCTTCAGGGCCTGGCTATCTGCATCATTGCCTATCTTCAACTATGTCTATGTACCTGACAAGGATTAACATGTTTTGGATCTGTCTATTAACTTATGTTATATCACAGGACCCAGGAAAAACATATTTTCTTTTGCCCCATTTGCTCTCTTCTCAAGCTCCATATAGCCCTCACCCTATGTCACGCAAGACAGCCTTAAATGCTTCACTCCTTCCACAGGTACTAGGCTTAGATATTGTGTGAATTTACCATTAGATCAGAGAGATTTGTCTGAGTCATTTCTTCATGCAGGACTTCTAAAACAAATCATTACCGTGATTTTAATGCTTGGAAGCTATCCAGAGTGATATCAATGTGGTAGTTATAGAAACTGAATGAGTGAATGTTATTCATTGTCTATCATACGTAGTTTGTGAGACAGTTAAGTAAAACCAATGAATCAGTAGTTATTTTTTTTACTATTATTACCATTTCTATTATTGGAGGGATTTTATCACTGTTTTTAACTTTGTTTTATTATAAACTATTGAAAGACCCCATGTATTGGCGGTATGGTAAATGTTATGGTATTAATAAATAAAACAATAAAACAATAAATATATAAATATTAAAAAACATACAGTTTAGATGTGTATATGACATAGCTGAAAATAAATAGAAAATGTCAATATTTAAAATTCCACTGCAGCTCCTTTTACTTGTGCCAATCCCTTTTTTATGCTTATTTATGTTAACACAGTGATGTTGTCTTATGCCCATTGTACCTTTTGGAAAAACAATTTGATTTTCATAAAACAAAGAAAACCTGTTTGTATGAAGAAAGCCTGAGAGTTTTCACTTGAGGCACAAATGACCTGGTTCAAAGTTTCCTATGTTTCAAAGTAACCTACATTATGCATATAGCATTCTGGAAAAGGCTCTAATGCTAGGAAAGGTGGAAGGAGAGAGAAGAAAACAGGACCAACAGCAAAGTAAGTGAATTCAGATATAGTGGTGATGAGCACAAAGACCTGAAAGAACAGGTTAGGGACAGTGATTATTAGGAGTCTAAAATGACTCAACAACACATAATTAAAAAGAAAAAAGAAAATTCTAAGTTTCTGCATGATTCTAAGGCTGGTTCCCACAAAATACTAAATTATAAGCACAGATCAACAGATCCGATCTGCTGTGCTCACATAATGTGTGATGGAATGTGTGGATGACCTCAGGGAACAAGGGGACGAGGTGTTGCCTAGGAAACAATCAGATAAAAGAGGCAGGAGCCCCTAGTGGCTTAACGGACAAAAAAAGGAAGTTAGGAAGGACCTGCCCTAATTGATCAAGCGGTTAAAAGTGGGGGCAGGAAATTTGTACTATCAAGATTGATGTCAGCTCTCCCAGATAAACCAGATGGGAAACATGACGAGATGAACTAATTCTACTTTCTTGTAAGGCTATATTAGCAGAATCTTTCATTCCTCGTTTAGCATTTGCTTTGTTTATCAACCATTCACAGTTATAACAGGGATGAAGCTGTAAATTTACCACCAATCTTCACATTTATGACTTCCAAAGGCCATGCTCCAATCACATGCAGTGGACAACCAGCAACAACTTGCAGCAGCAATCAGCAGTGTCTCCAGTTCCTTGTCTCTTCCTCTCCCTCTTCTCCCTCTCCTGAACTGAATGGAAGTCCCTGTCCTGTGGAATAGCATTCCTCTAAAATCCATGCAGATTCAATTCTGCTATAAATACTTTAAAAAATAATAATACAGTTTGGATGTGTATATGACATAGCTGAAAACAAATAGAAAACATCAATATTTAAAATTCCAGGAAAGCCTGGCCTTGGGGCACAGTGTCTTGTAACTTCCCTTGGGGCGCCTTCCATGGTACTGTCAGTTCCCCAAGTAAGAATTTTTGATTCTGTTTTAGCCATTTCTTATCATGTATGTTGCCTAGGTGGCTTTGGCAGTGGATGCACCTGAGAAATAGATTAAATACAGGTGGTCCTCGACATACAACCACCACTGAGCCCCAAATTTCTGTTGCTAAGTGAAACATTTCTTAAGTGAGTTTTGCCCTATTTTACAAAATGTCTTGCCACAGTTAGATGAAAAGTCAGTAAAAGGGCTGTTAAGTGAATCTGGCTTCCCCATTGCCTTTGCTTGTCAGAAGGTCGAAAAAGGTGATCCCACGATCCCAGCTCAGTTGTCAAGCGTCTGAATTTTCATCACATGACCATGGGATGCTGCAATGGCTGTAAGTGTGAAAAACGGTTGTAAGTTATTTTTTTCAGTGTTATTGTAACTTTGGACGACCACTAAATGAACTGTTCTAAGTTAAAGACTACCTGTAAAGTAATAAATGGATAAATTAAAAACTCTCCCATCAAACATTTCTTCTTTCTGTAACACTTGCCCATTTGAGTTCTAAAAGTCCTCCTTAAAAAAAAAAAAGCCAACCTGAGCTTACATGAAAGGGAAATGCAGATGATTTTACCAATAGCATATTTGGAGCAATACCAAACCCTTATAATCCTTTCCAGTGGTTTTTCCCCCCTCAGGCTTTCATTTAAAAACAACAGGAAAATTAAGGTATAACTGCAGGATTCACTAAGGAAACCCTCTCCGATCGCACTCAGAGATATAAAAAATGGAACCAACACAAACTGGTACTTCTTACCTCCTGCTCCATCTCTGCTAAAAACATTGTGGTCAACACTTGCAACAACAGTTTTAAGCTACCAAAATACGAGCAGGGCTGCACTACCCTATTTCCTTCTGCTAGGTATTATTTATCAGAATGTTCAAGATTATCTGCTTGCTACAGTGAGTTCACCAACAATTCCTGGAGCTGCAGGACAAATTTTATTTTAGCACTGCAGCTACATTTGGAATATTGCCCATCAGCCCATAGTTTTTAAAATCAGACCATTGTGACTTCTTAAATCAGGGCTTTAGCATATTTTTTTAATATTGGGCATTCCACCTAGGGCGGGGGTGTCAAACTGGCAGCCCATGGGCCGGATGCGTCATGCATAGGCCACGCCCACCCTGGCTCCGCAAAGGCAAAAAATATCACGATACATCATGATACATCACATGACGCGATCGAGTTTGACACCTATGAACTGATGGATGGTAACAAAATTCTGCTTTTTTTCTTAAATGACATCAGCTTTTGCTTGTTTTGTACATGTCTTCTTTGTACATGTCTGCATGGTATTGAATATTTATATTGATTTTATTACGCAAGTTTCACCTATGACCTAAGGAATTAGATGGGAATTCCAACCCAGTACAGAGAAGTATTAATACATGCCTAGTTCAGACCTTTCATTCTGGATTAAAGCAGCAAAGTAGAGTAGTCTGTGATTTACGTCTACAGTTGAAACTAACATTTCTGATGCTAAGCGAGAAAGTTGTTAAGTCAGTTTTGCTCTATTCTATGACCTTTCTTGCCACAGTTGTTAAGTAATCACTGCAGTTATTAAGTTAGTAACATGGTTGTTAAGTGAATCTGGCTTCCCCATTGACTTTACTTGTCAGAAGGTCAACCCCCGGGACACTTCAACCATCATAAACGTGAGTCAGTTGCTAAATGTCTCAATTTTAATCATGTGGCCAATGTGATGCTGCAATGGTCATAAGTGTGAAAAAGACTCACAATTCACTTTTTCAGTGGTGTTGTAACTTTGAACAGTCACTAAACGAACTGTTGTAAATTGAGAACTACCTGTAATCTCAGAAATTATTGATAAATTACAATCTTTGATGACCCTGGTAAACTAACTAAACAATAGACAAACCCTAATACCTTACCTTGTAGGGATATGACTTCTTATGTAAAGCAAATTGCTCAGGCAGTTTGTTATTTATTTCCTGCCTTTATTATTTTTATAAATAAGCCAAGGTGGCATACTTAATACCCCTTGTGCCTCCTATTTTCCCTACAATAACTCTGTGAGGTGGGTTGGGTTGAGAGTGAGTGACTAACCCAGTCACCCAGCAGTTTTTCATGCAAAGTGGAACTAGAACTCACAGTCTCCCAGTTTCCACTGGGAGGTACAGTAACCACTAGACCAAACCGCCTTGCTCTGACGACATAACAGATCAATGCATTTTAATTTGCTACAATGCAATCTCAAACACACACACACATACACAATCTGCGAAGTAAATGATCTTTTAAGGACATAACTCTGCATCTTTGTTTTTAATCAAAGGTGCTTTTTCAAAGGCAACTGGACTTTGTTTTCCTTGAAGATGTTTCGCTTCTTATTCGAGAAGCTTCTTCAATTCTGAAGTTTTCTTTGTTTTAGTATTACAGACTTTTTTTTTCCAGTCAGGGAAAGGTGTTTATGAAAATGTCTATCCAGCTGGCTACCTGTTCTTAATGTTGGGACACAAGTGTTTGAGGTTAGTGTCAGATCTTAATTATGTGTTGTTGCTAATATTACCTCAAGTAATCAGAATATCTGCATGTCATTGGTCTTTATTAACTTTATTAACAAGTGCAGTAACTCTTAATGGTAAGATTGTATGCTGCCATCTAGTGTTGAGATCACTCTGCCTGCATCATTTTTCATAACAGAGTACTTGAAGTTTGATAGAAATGGGAGGGAATATTCTTATCAGACTCTCTTGTTTTTCCCCCATTACATATCAACATGTTAACAGTTCAAGAGAGATAATATATAGACAGATGTGTGTTAAAGACATCAGTGTGTATATGTGGAAAAAGAAAGAGAACACAAGAGAAACAGGCTCACTTCTTATCCTTAAAAATGCATACAAACATAATTGATAAAACTTTAAAATGTTATAACATCCTGAATGTGTCTGCTGGCTAAAATAAATTAATACTCTGAAATGGTTGTAAAATTTTTAAAAGCAATTTTTTCAAGTTTTAGCCACTAAGATATAAGGAAGTTTGGGCTATTTTGGAAAATACATTTTTTTCTAAAGTTCAGAATAATCCATTAAAGCAGGGTGGATAACTAATAGCATTGAGTCATGTTAGGTCTCCAAGTCCTATTTTTCAGGTCCAGAATCTGGTAAAATCATACTAATAAATGTGGTGGTGTCAGATTAGTTTAAAATCACATCTTTTCAATGTCTTTATTAGTTTTCAAAAGCTCATTTGTCAGACTTTCTTGAGATTGCTATAACAATGTCTGAAAACAACACAGATGAACTTGTAATAAATAAATCATAAATAACTACAGTAAGTCCCACTAAATTTCTCAAGATTTAATTAAGATTTCACATACTGGATCAGATTATTATTCTGCTGCTTCATCTAATGCAGGGGTGTCAAACTGCAGGCCCGCAGGCCGGACGTGTCATGTGGAAGCCGCGCCCACCCCATTGCTGGCAATGGCAAAACTGGCCCGATATGTTGCGCAACGTCACATGACGTTGCGAGTTTGACATGCCTGATCTAATGAAACCTGGATACCTGGAAGTGGTGCCTGGAAGCAATTTTACTTGAATCATTTATTCTTTGACCTCATTCAGTAAAGTGTTCCAAATATTTTACATCATAACTATGTATAGTGAAAATAATTCTGGTTTAATTTGTGTACCTGTTGCAATTTCTGCCAATTTCTTTTACAATCATATCAGAAATTTAGAAATAGATGACCTTTAAACCTTTGCAAACCACTTAAAAATAGTTTGCTCCTGGGTTTCTCATTATTAAATGGCAGAGTTGAAAACAATGATCTGTACGTAACTTTCTTTTCAAAACCCTGTTTGTTCCACTTCATCAACTTCCTGAAAAGGCTACATATTTTCAGCAAGAATCTTCAAATAATCACTGGTCTATGTACTAAGCACATCCTCGGTATCCTACTGTACTGTTTGACATTTCTTGATAAATTTACCCAAACAAATTACCACTTAACATTTTGATGAAAGCAGAAATCACACCAGATCTTTCTGTATTTTAAACGATTTGCAGTTCACAACATGGGTCAACAAGGATTATTTAGGACAAAATTATTTGGTTTATTTAGATAATTAGCTTCTTTTGGGGATTATCGGCTGAGAACATTTATCCAACCAGTTTTAGTAACAAGTTATTTTCCAGCTGTTCTGAGTAAAATAATAATGATTTGAGATACCCCCTCCATAAGGATTTGAAGAGTAGGAGGAGCATTCTAAGCTTTTTTTAAAATCACAGTTCACTATTTAACTGGACAGAGCAGCTTTACTTGGGTGCCTTCTCCTTTTCCCCACTAGAGGAATCTGTAACTGAAGGTAAGCGTGTGCAGCATCAGGGAAGTAATATTGGTCAATTGGTTGTGCAGAAAGAAACTAAAGATACGAGCTGTCTAAAGATGGATTTGTGCATTGGAATGAATGTGTGCATTAGGAATTCTCTCTCAAGAGTAAACAAGGTTAATATCTTTTATTATATGTGTTTTAAGCAAATAGACTAGAGCTATTGCTCTGTTATGATGTTCGTGAACAGCTGGTTTTATGTTTATTGATTATGACAATAGTGAATCCTACAGCCCTTGCAGAATATAGATCCCTGCTCCAAGAAACTTCTAATTTCAAATGTAGTACATAGGAAAAAATAAAACTAAACTCCTGGATCTAGAAGATTGTAATAACTATTGCTAAATGACAAATGCTCCTTTCTGATCAAAATGACTGAAAGAATCATGGCATTCTAACTATATGTATTCTTGGAAGATATTGATTATTTAGATTCACTCCAGATTGGATTCTGGTCTGCTTATATGAAATATTGTCTTTAGTTAACCTAATGGATTTAAAACATATAGACAACTTTGTTTCTATTACTCGATCTTTCACCAGCTTTTGATTCCATTAATCCCAGTATCTTCTTGTGTAACCCTGTGAACTGAGAATTAGAAGTAGTCTGACATTAAGCCATAATCACAGTACTGATATTTATCTTTGTAGCTCTAGTCTAAACCATTCAGGGTTACCTCAAACTGTGTCTCCAATGACATCAGCCACAGAGGCATTTACTATCCTGGGGGAAGATTCCCACTTGGTGGGGGACCCGGAGATGGGCCTTCTGCTTTGAGATGACATTCCTGGTACAGTGTACAAAGCCTCAATTTTGTTCTCTCTCTCTTTCTCTCTTTTTTAAAAAATAATCCTATTTCACTGGTTTTCTTCAGTCATTAATTCTCCTGATACTACTCTTGGAATGGATAGACTGCATCCTGCTTTTATTGTGTTCATCATTTTCAACCTCTTCTTATTGTATTTTAGAATTGCTCTGCAGTTTTTAAACCACTTTGGGACTTTCTAGAATGAAGTGGTGTAAATTATTTCTAATAAAGAGATATGAATAATAAATTTACTTTTATGGTTTCTTTTTTCTTATTACTTTTGCCTATCTCTTGTGGGCACTGGACCTCTTTAAGGCAATTCACTTCATTGTTGCACTGACGTATTTCCATTGACCTTAAAAGCAGGGAAAAAAACCATTTCTGTTTTTCTTTTGATAAATATTTTTCTTCCACTATTTCTTATTATTCCACTCCCAGTTGCTTCCATCTGTATCCTGTCATTTTTTTTCCATATGACACTTTTTCTTCCCATGTCAAGTTGTTATAACAATTCTTATTTCACCAAGCCCATTCTTCAAGAATTTTCAGACGCTGAATCAAAGGCATATGCTATTTTAGTGGGATTACGTTATAATCAGAAAGTATCAGTTGTAAGAACTCAAGTCTTATTTGGCAATTGTTGAACATTTCTTCTCAGTTTTTTTTAAAAAAAATCTTCAAACTCTTGGGGAAAATAATTTTCAAGGAATTTTAAAAAATGATGAAATACGAATAAATCAGGTCTGAAGTGCTTATGTTTACCCTTGAATATTTCTAGATCAATTTTGGAAATTCCAGATGAATTTTTGATGTCTTTCCAGTTACATAATGAATTATCCAGATATTTATGGATTATCTATATTATCATATGTAATCATATGTCCCTTTACTTTTCCCCTGTTTGATGTATTTTTCTGTGTTCCTAGTCCAACAATGAATATTCAAGATATATTTTCCAATATATCTTGGCCTGAGATAATAATCTACAGAATTCTCTTCCCACTCTATGCTTTTTCACACTGAAACAAAATATACATTTGCATAGCCAGCTGTTCTGTAACGTTCTGTGAGCATGTCGTATGTATTTTCAGTATTGACTCTTGTGTACATGACTGTGTTTTGTGTACACATTCTCTCCAGCCCTCACTGTCAGTCATTTTTACATAGTTTAGTATTGGCTATTGCGTTTATGACTGGGATTTTTTGTATATTGCAACAGTAATTCCTAGCCAGGCACCTCATATAAAATACAGTTCATTCAGAATCCACTTTAGTCTTAGATAGCCATCCAGCTTTTGGGGAATTGGAATGTTACTTTGACATCTCCCCTTAATTGCCATCAGTGCAAAAATCAAACAAATCAAATATATATGTATATTTCATGCACGCACACATATACATACATATATGCATGCATATGATATACAGTATATGTGTATGTGTGTTTGTGTGTGTGTGTGTGTGTGATCATTGATACTCTGTTTGATAATTTGCACTGGTGTAATTAAAGGGAGTATTAAGGAGAGGTGATATATTAACATTGCAATCCACCAGAAACTAATGTATTTTTTTTTGTCCGTGTCCAACTGTGTGTGTGTGTGTGTGAGAGAGAGAGAGAGAGAGAGAGAGAAACTGGGGAAGCCAGGAAATCTTCAGGAATGAAGAAAAGTTAAGCACTGTGCCAAAGTATGCCTTGTACTTCCTCAGAAGCTTTAGTCCAGCAAAAGAGGCTTCCGTTTTTTCTCAGAGCACTTGAGAAGATTTTCTAATGCATTTGAGAAGCTTTATACTTGCAAAAAGAGCCTTCCGTGATTCTCATTGTGCCTGAGAACTTTTCAATTGAACTTGATGGTGGGTTTGTTTTATTTTGTTTTTGTTTTGTTTTTGTTTAGCTTACTGTTTCGTTGGAGATGGTGCTGCATGCTACTACTACGGTACTTTTTTTGATTTTGATTTCTTTCACTGCTGATGTTCCCAATCTGAAATGGACAAAAATAATGTGGGACTTTCATGTTGTTTTTCTTTTGGATTTAATTAAATTATACAAAGTGACTTAGACTACACATTGCTGGAGTGGTGGTTAATTAATTATTTCATTGTTAATATAGCCTGCTTTTCTGCAAAGATATGTTCAAGGTAGGTAGCAGTACATAAATAAATAAATACAAATTAATGGGGTTGCGCAAATCCTTCGGTAGGCACTTGGTTCGCAAATGATGTCCCCCTCTGGATCTGTACCACAAAGCAGCCACAGATGCTTCAAAGCTTGAGGGAGCTGCTTTAAGGATCCCTTGAAGTTTTTTAGTTGTGCTTGCTTTCCACTGAGGTATTTAATGATGCAAAGTAGCTCACTGGAGGATCTGTAGAATTAAATCACAATTGCAAAAATTGAAAAGCAAAGATTTGAGGGGGGGCTTTTAACTGTATTAAAGTTTAAGAATGGAAGTGATATTATTTAAGTGTGATGATGATGATGATGGTGATGGTGATGATGTCTTGTGTTTGGGTACCGAATCAACTTGAATCATAGTATTTGGGTTCCCCTGTCTCTTTTTATCAGCTAAAGGTCAATTCCATCTCGATGCACTGTGCATTTTCCTTTTTTTTACTCATACATATAGATATACAGACCACTTCATTTAGAAAATCCAACAATCCATGAAAATCACACTTGCTGTTACATAGAATTGTACTGCATATCACTGCACAAGTATGAGAGTGTGGTGTGGTGCATTCTGTTGCTTCTAATACTATAAAACAAGCCAGGTAATTCAGTGGGTTTGAATTCTTTATTTGTGTGCTTTCAGAAAGGTTTCCATTTTTTCACCAGTTTTAATAATATTTGTATGTATGAAATATGTAAGATGAGATGTCACCTTCTCTGTGTTATGTTCTTTAGACATAAAAATTTCTCTTCTGGCCCTATAATTGGTACATCATCTCCTTTCATTATATTCAAAATGAAAAAAAAATGGTAAAAAAATGTTTTACTAATTTATTTTTCCTTTGCTATTTCTAGAGAATGAAGGGTATTTATACTACATGGACTTTGCAAGATCTGGCTTTGTGCATAATAGCTGTAGTGTTCTGTTCCACACAGGGTACGTCCAACTTGAGAAGTATAATTCATTTTTAAGATTAGAAAAATGTTAATGAATAGAAGTTACTACCACAGTCATATTATATTATTTCCTACAGTTTTCTTTCTTTCTTTCTTTCTTTCTTTCTTTCTTTCTTTCTTTCTTTCTTTCTTTCTTTCTTTCTTTCTTTCTTTCTTTCTTTCTTCTCTCTCTCTCTTTCTTTCTTTCTTTTTTTATTTTTTATTTTAAAAGTCATTTCAAATTGTTGTTTTGCTGAAGTATCCAGTAATTGTTCACTTTCTTCATTAACTTAGGAATTAGATTTTGAGACAAGTTGATAATTAGAGGAGTTTATCTTTTCTTCAATCTACGCAGTGTATCCTAAGTTACTGACTGCTACACAATCCTCAAAATATTTAGAGCGACTCCCCTGCTTAACCATTCTCAAGGTGTTATTTTCTTCAAATAATTTATTCCTTTTCTCTTCAAATGTATCCTATCTGGTTATGGCTAAATACTTCAATTTTTTGTTTCATCAGTCCAATGCATCTGGTCCCAAAACATTTCAGAACTATCAGGTTTTCTTTTGCATATTTTATGATGAGGTCAGAGAAAATATTTCCTGTTGATAATTCTTTCACACCATTATTGCTGTACAAGCAATGCCATTTCTCAATAGTGCTTTTCACATTTGAAATGGCTAGTTGGCAGAATTTAGAATTTAACCTTTCTGTGCTTTATAAGATGCTTTATAAGCATCTTCAGATGCTAAGAAATGTTCAAAGAAAGCCATGAGTGTTAAAAGTAGACGGCAGCCTAATACTGACATTGTGAGAGCATAGATACGAAATCTGATATGTCACTATTCAGAGACCAAGAACTTGCATCATTTCCATGATATTTTATTATAGTTTATTGTTTATAGCATGAATAGTCTGAAACTTTCAACCTGCAGATGAAAGGAATGTTGACGATGGCCCTGTGACATATAGTAGAGTAATGAAATAAAATGATAGGTTATTTACAAGAGAATGTACACAATGAAGAGGTTAAAAACGTGTTTTGGCTCAGCTGTTGATCCTGTGATTGCATCTTAAAAATTGAGAATTTCTAGGATACTTCATCTAAGCAGACTATTCTGGGATTTCTTTGGCTAAAGTTGTGTCTAGACTGATTGAAGTGTCAGAATATTTTTGAATTTAAATACCTGCAATGTGAATTGGCCACAGATATACTAATAAGCATTGGGCAATATATTTATACAATTTGGTTGGCTTGGGATGGAGCAGTGCATCATTGCTTCTTAACCCATTTCATTCAAGAATCTTTGATTTAGCTTACTTAACATAGATTACCTTTGCAGAGTACAGCTGTGATCGATTTACATTTCAGCTATTTAAAGCCTAACATTCTCTGACGCTTAGAGAAGCCTAAAAGACGTCTTATAATCATTCTGCTTGTACTAGACATTAGGGAGATTCTCCATTTTAAGATGTGTTCAGAGAATCAACAATTGTCTTTACCAGCTAAGGTAGAACTCTTCATTCTGTTTATTCTCTTGCACACTATTAATCATTCCATTATCTTATTGCCACTACAAGTGACATGGCCTTCATCTGCATTCCCAGTACGTTTATAAATCGAAAACATTCAGAATGATCTTGTTATAAACAATGAACTAAAAAACAACAACTCATGAATGTCTGAATGGGAACATTCCAGGTTTTAGAATTATATTATTACAGGTTAAACAAGACTACAGACATGGCATAATAGGTTTAAACTATAGGGAGACATATTTGATTGAAACATAAAAATACCATTATAACAATAATAGCAATTTGATAAGTAGAACTAGTAACAGAGAAGTGGTAGAGTCCCTTTCATTTATATGCTTGTGAGAGCCATATTTTTGTACTGCTTTATTTTAATTCCTGAACAGGAAGTTGGACTTGATGACCTCTATTTTCCCTTTCAGTCCAATGAATCTGTGAGTCTACATTTCTTCCGTAGCTTGGATTTGATGAAAAAATATTAGTGCTGAGGAAATTAATCCAAGAGTCTAATAAAGATGAGCAAGGAACATTATAAATGTAGCAGGAAATTTTACTTAGCACTAAGAATCAGACCAAAATATCCTATACTAGGTTTTGAATATATTCCATAGCCTATAAATTGAGAAGCTATTTCTGCTGTGCTTTAACTCTATATGATTGTAGAAATAGGCTATAAATATAAATTGTAGCCTACAAACAGAGACAATAGCTTCTCTATTTATAAACTATGGAATATATTCAAAACCTAGTAGAAAACATTTATGGAATAGCTTTCATTATATTAAATTGGGGACATCATGTATTTTAAGTGTTACACAGCTAACATTCTTACACATGCATAGACCACTCAGAATCTTTTCCAACATATTTTGTCTATCATTTGTAATTTTGGAAAGGCCTATATATATACATTATTACTATTACTGACTTTGTTCCTGCCTGAGAAAAGATAATAAAGATGTTCATTATCTGAGAACAGATAATGAAGAGATAATGAAGATGAAATAAGCTGTTTGCTTATTTGCATAGGCAATTCTTTTAATCTTCCAGACATGTGGAGGAATGGCTAAAATGAGCACAGCAAGTTTGGAATTATAATTTACTTAAAATGCCTTTTAGAGAGAAAAAGGATTTTATAAAGAATATTAAAGATTTTATAAAGAGAAAGCTTTTTTATTTAAATTACATTTACAATTAGCGATTATTAACTGTTTTATGTTTTATCAGGTTCAGTAATGACAAGCAATCAAGATGTGGAATTGGGTGGCAATGTCACTTTGAGATGCACTTTATTACAACATTCTAATATTTACCAAGTTACATGGAAAAAAAAAAAGAATGGAAATGATGAAAACATTGCAACATACAAGAAAGATACAGGTTCAACTGTTTTAAAATACAAAGATCGAATCAATTTTACAGTTTGGAGCCTTCAAGATACTGCAATTAATTTGTCGAATGTGAGCACTGAAGATAATGGCTGCTACAAGTGTGCATTTCTTTTGTTTCCTGTAGGGCCTGTCATGGGACAACCTTGTCTTTCTGTTTATGGTAAGTCTGCCCAATCAAACTAACTTCAAAAGAGGATTGATGAAGCCTTGTCTTTAAATGTGGATTACAATAAATCATATGCTGAATTATGTGGCACTATTACAATAAATCGTATGCTGAATTATGCAAGAAAAAAAATCAATAGTCCTAACAAGATAAATTAGAGCTTGGTGGAATCTTACAGAAATTACATCACAGCTCAATATGTATTCATTTTATTTTATAGACGTTTGAGAGGTTTTGTTTTGTGAGGACTTTTTTTTTTTTGGCAATTGCAACAACGCATTTGATCTCTATTATAGTATATTTAATTATTACTACCCATACAAGGCAGAGGCAGTTTTTAGTTTCCCCCAAAGGTTTTTACCACAATACCTTGCAGTTAGCTTAAGTTAGAAATATTATTTAGAACAATTTGGCATCAATCAAATATTCTGGGCAACTCCAACAATCTCTGGGAAGTTATCTAGGTCTGATATCAATTGAAATGCAAAGCATCTGGAGAGGGAAAAGAATTGTATTTAGATTAACAGGATAGTATATTGTGGGATACAAATCTGATTTATACTTTGTTGCAGAACAGCACACACTGGGAGGTAAAGGTACATTGTATGCTATTTGAGGATATTACCTAGAAGTGATTATGTGAATTTTCTATCCATAAGTTCACTTTCCATTTGAAAGCATACATATGATCTAGTTGTTTCCTTATTCACATTTTATTGCTCACTTGAGCTCCTATACTATAGTATAAGAGCCCTGGTGGTGCAGTGGTTAGAATGCAGTGTTGCAGGCTAACTCTATTCACAGTCTGGAGTTCAATCCTGAAGGGTTGATGCAGCCTTCCATCTTACCGGGGTCAGTAAAACGAAGATCCAGATTGTTGAGGGCAATATGCTGACATTTTAAACTGCCCAGAGAGTACTATAAAGCACTACGGAACGGTATATAAGTCTAAGTGCTATTGCTATTGCTATATTATCAAATTTTGCTCTTGTGATTTGTGTCACAGATAATCTCAAAACATCTACAGACCACACCATCTCTGATAATCACTTGCGTGCCAACTGTTCAGCAACTGGTTTCCCAAGACCGAACATTTCATGGTTTCCACCAGAAGGTGAAAAGAAAGAAAAGGATATCACAAACCCAAATGGCACATTATCTGTCATAAGCAACATTTTTGTAAGCATGTCAAATGTTAAACAAGGGCTGACTTGCCATGTTACTCACAGAGGAAAAACGATAAGCATTGAGGTGCTAGGAAAAGAAATAGGTACGTTAACAAAACAGATAGGCCCAGTACCAGCCCATTTCTAAAAGCTGATAAAACTGTGTATCTGTATGTGGGAAGGTGTTTGGAAATCTTATTACTGCTAATATTTTTTTTCCTTATAAAGTAGAATATTTGTAGTTCAGGGTTGACATGAGAGGTCCTTGGTGCTCTCTGAACTTGCTTGTTTTCTTGCAGACATTTCATTACTCAAAGTAGATAACATCATCAGTGCTAGTAAGGAGTACAGTTTGCTACCAGTTTATATTCTGGTGGCTTGCCTTGTCAGTGTTGGTGGGGCTGGTCTTAGAGATTCTTTGGTTGGGCTGTTTCCTGTTGGCTCTTTGGCAGTTTCTTGACTGGGGTATTGTTTACTTGATTGTTGGTCTGATGTTAACCTTGGAGTGAATCTATGATGATCTGGGTGCTGATTGCTGGTGGGGAGGTGGTGGATTCACACTGTTCTTTTTTGGCCATGGTGATAATCTCTTTTGCATTGTCTATAGATGTTGTTAATGTCTATGTGTCTATTGATGGTTGATTTGTCACAGTGCCAGGCTCCTAGAAATTCCCTGGCATTTTTGGATTAGCCCTGATCTAGGATTGTCACATTTTCCCAATTGAAACTATGGTTTAATCTGTCTATATGTTGTGAAAGTAAAGAATTTTCATGAAGAAATTCTTTGATTTCACAATATATAGACAGATTTAACATCTCCCAGGGCTCACCAAATGGAGGTCCTTCATCAATGGCAACCACAACACACTTTCTTTGTAGGCTCTAATGGGTTGGACTGAGGAATGTGAGTTTCAGTAATATAGATCCATTCTGTACTGTCAGTGCAGTAACATTCTCTTTTCTTCCATGCAGACCGTACAAAAAAATCTTTTCCTGTGATACCAGTTGTATTGGCTTTGATTCTTGTGATCCTGGTTATTGTTGTGGGTATATGCTGCTGGCGACGACAAAGGAAAAAACATAGAGGTAAATTGTTCAGTTTTATTAAACACAATTTCTCAAACATTTTTATCTTTACTACTTTACTACTTGGTTTCATATAGTAAATTATCTTCATATGATTACAGAATATAAAGCTGCTTGGATTATATCAAGCAAAGATATTAGTATGGGATAATTTGCCCCATCCTACTCCCTATATGTGCATTAACTGAATACTTGAGAAAATATTACAATCCATAATACTATATTGGGACACATACTAGCTCCACTCAATGAATTTGTTTGTTCTAACTGGTAAAAGTTTTTAGAGATTTCTAAAAGACATTTCAACCCCACTGACTGAGATCATTTCAAGTGGATAGAACAGATAAATCCTTAGGCTTCATCTATGCAAACTTTCTTCAGAAGCACATTGATTGTGCATTCTAGTTCCCTACCATATTTAGGAGAACTTAGATCTTGGAGGAGAGAAAATATTAGAAATTGGCTTTTTGAAAGGGATGCTAATAAAGATGCCACTGTAGTACAACCATCCATTTTTTAAATCTTTGTATCAGCATTATAAAAGTGTAGACATCAGTGCTACACTCAGTGCTTCACTAACGCAACCACTGCTTCACTCAGAAGGACTTTAACATTCCTGCACACTCGTCTCAAAGATTTTGTAAACAATGCCTCTGTCCTTGTGTGGTGGACAATTGGAGGGCTATCCATTGTGTTCTCCACTGTCCCGTTTACAATGAGATCAGGGCCCAATTAATAATGGCAGATGAATTCAAGGGCTCTGACTTTGAAATACTGAACTATCTTCTTGCACATAGGTTTTCAAGTGTCAGCAACCAAATTCCTACTTTTGTTCTCATTTAAACTTAGAAAGAAATGCTTACCCTTACTTGTAGCTTTGGTTTTATTTTGTTGCAACTTTTTTACATCTAATAGTTTTATTACTCTACCTTAAACTTTCACTGTTTTATTGTTTGTTCATGGTATTCCTATTTTATGACTTGTGGTTACTAGAATAAACTTATTTTCTTACTTACATTCTAGTTGGTGGCTTGTGGGCAACAGTATGTTGACCTGCAGTGTACTTCATTACATAGGATAACATTAGCATGTTTCAAGTAAAACTGGGCTTTTGCTGTACTTGTGAAATTCAGCAAAACAGGCCATTAGCAGGAATATTACACATAACCCAGAGGCAGCTAAGGTTGATTATCCTTTATCTGGTGTCTTATTAAAAAGAGTTACAGGAAAATCTTGATTAACAAAGCCATGATAGATGGCAGATACCAATATATATGGGCTGGATGTGATGACGAACACATTATACAGAAGATTACAACTTAGAATGTATGATGAGGAAGTGATAAAAGATTTGAACTGATGGAGTCAGTGAAATAAAGAAAAATGAATACAATATAGGTAAAAGAAGAAGAAATCAAAAGATGTAGCAGAACTTAAAGAATTTCAAAAAGGTTCTTTGATTTATAGAAGAAGAAATCAAAAGATGTAGCAGAACTTAAAGAATTTCAAAAAGGTTCTTTGATTTATAAAACTGAATGCATGCTAGGAAGTGAATGCACATTTTTATTTATGAATGAAAATGTTAGAATGTTTGGCTAAAATGTTAACAGATTTTATCTAAATTCTTTTGAATGTGCATAAAAGTAAGAATCCACAGGTCAGTGATAATGGCATAAAAGATTTTATTGATTTGCAGCTGCAGGTTTTTCAGTATCTAGGCATTTATTTTTAGTCAGCTACGTCCTGGAAAGACCAATTTTCCAAACATATGCTGCATGAATGAAAAACTTGGAACACAATAGCTTATACACAAACAGGAAGGGTAATAAGTATCTATCTACAACAATAAAACTTTTCAGTGTAAAGCATGAAGTCTTTTGCCGTATGGCCCACAGTCTAGGGGGTAATTCTCTGGCCCAACTTTTATTGATACAGTTCCGTAAGGGAAAAACAAATAATATCTAATTTATTAATTATTTAAATTTATTTAGCCACCCATATCAAATTCATAACTCTGGATGGCTAACAGCAGTTAAACATACTTTAAAACAATATATAACAATTGAAATAATGCATACATAATTGGCAGCTGAGATAAACAAAAACAAAGCAACTTGGTTTACAGCACGTTTCCCTGGTCTGCAGGCCATGTTTAAGCTGGCTTTAGATAAAGCCTGGATTAAAGTAAAGAAGAACCCCCAGATCTGGCTTAACATATTTTCATAACGCTGCTATAATAGGCTCATATCCACCCTTCACTACTCTCAGCTTGAAGCCTGAGCAATTCTGGAGTACTTTTCCCTGATTCAATATCTTATTCATCATTTTTATCTCACTTTGTACAGTTTTACCTTTGTAGTGTTTTAACTTGTACTTTTTTTATCTAACAAAGGTACAAGAGTTTCATGGATTGCAAAGGCATAAACACATTTTTTTATTTTATTTTATCATATACTGTATGTGTGTCCTTATATTGGAAAGTTCTCATACTGGCAGAATAGTTAATTTTCAATTTAGCATACTATTGTTCGTTTCTATGTTCTTTGACCATAAATAGATGATGATGATGATGATGATGATGATGATGATGATGATGATGATGATGATGATGATGACAATGATGGTAACGATTTAGAGAATTTATGAAAAAAATCATGAATAACAAGAGGTTCTAAACATGAGCGTTTACAGTACAGAAAGCTGCTAAAATATGTTCTGAACACCAACTTTTCTTAATTGATAAAATTGATAGGATGATTGGAGGGCTAGGGGCAGTTTGGAAATGTCTGGCTTTTTTTGGAGCGTGATCTTGAAATTCAAAAGGTCATATTTACACAAATGAATGCTTTGACGGGAAATGTTGGGGTGTGTTTTCCTGCACATTTTTTTATCTTGAAGCCAAATGTCATTAGGAGAGATAATACCAACTTCCTTTCATAAACAAAGCAGTCTGTTATGAATTTTGAATGTACGACACTTAAGATATATTTTCACATGCTCCCTTATCCCTTCTCTAAGATGCATTAGAAAAAGGGTTTTACTGCATGGTAATTTCAACTGCCCTGAAAATCAGCTTGCTGTATGTAATTTGTGGACCAAGAAACAAGTCACACATAATTTAAAGTTATCTTTTTTCCCCACTTCAACAAGGAGGTTTGCTTGTTTTTGTAATGGCTTTTGGCTTGTACCTGACAAAAGACCTATGTAGAAAAATGAAAAGAAAGGCTAATAAAGTCCATTTTCTGAATGTATAGAAGGAAGAGGAGATGCTGACGATTAAATAGCCAGCTAGAGCCATTCATACAAAAGGGAAGAGAAAAAAGCTACTGCTCTGGAAAAAATATGCTGTTTTGAAGAACTAGCGATTTTTTGTGCAAGTCCCTTCACTTTCTGCTCAATCTGCACTAACCTTTTCTTATATTCCCTGTAGCATTCTGGGAAGAATATTCAAGGGTTACAACTCAGTTGCAAAAGTTGCCCTTTCTACTCTCAAAAATTTTGCTTTGATGGAAAATGGAAAGGGATCTTTTCCAAAACAGTAGCATTATGTAACAAGCAGGATGTATTTCTCCAGTAAGAAATCTGACCTTGCCCCTTTCTTTTATTTTACTGATGTTTACCCAGTAGCTATTGAAAGTAAAATCTCTCCCCGGTCAAATTTATCCTGTGGCAATTTCCTGGATACGTTCATATAATTGTCTTTCCAGTTTAGCCTACAGCCCTGCGATTCTCTGTAGATTTTATTAATTAATTAATTAATTAAATATTAATTGGATCCAAACCTGCTTATTAATCAGGCCCAAACCTGATTCAAACCTGTTTATTTCCCCAGCCCAAAGTCATACAGCATGTGGGAATGAATAGCATGGGAATGAACTCGAGAGACGGGGTAAAGTGATGCTGCCTAGGGAACAGTCAGTTAAGAGCAGGGCTCTTCAAACTTGGCCCTTTTATGCTGGCTGAGGAATTCTGGGAGTTGAAGTCCACAAGTCATAAAAGGATCAAGTTTGAAGAGCCCTGGTTAAGAGAGAACAGAGTTCACAGCTGCAAAGGAGAGAATGTAGAGCAGACATGTCAAACACAAGGCCCGGGGGCCGGATGCGGTCCGCGAAGTGGTTTCATGTGGCCCGCGAAGCCATCCTGGAAACAGTGAGGGAATGGCCCCTGCTGCCTTGGCCCTGGCCCAGGCCAGCCGGGAGCCAATGTACAATTTTGTGGTGGCCATCTTGGCACTTGCCCCAGTTCCATCCCCTTCTTTCAGAGACCCTCAGATCTATCCCACTCCTGCCCAGACCCCCATAGGCACCCTTGACATGAATGATGTAGAACTGGCCATGCCCACCCAGTAGGCCACACCCACTCCATCCATGCCCACCCAGTAGGCTGCACCCACTCTGGCCACACCCACCTGCCCCCCCAGGGCAACCGCAATGCTGATACGGCCCTCAGTGAAATTTGAGTTTGACACCCCTGATGTAGAGCAAGAGGCTTAGGCTCTCCAGGTTATTGGATTATAAAAGTGATGGCAGGAGAATTTCACTTTCAGACTTGCAAGATGCTGTTACTGTAGTTTTACAATACAGTAGAATTAGCTAATGCAGTTGAGTTTAAATGATAAGATAGACAGTCAGATAATGCACCAGCTGACATTTGCTACCATTAATACCATCAAATACCATTACCATTGTATCTGGGCTACAAGGGACTTAGCTATTAGTAAAATATAGATTACATGCTTTTTTGAGTAGATTAGGGCTTTGGAGAAAAAACAAATACATTTGAAGAAAGAAGTGCTCCAAGAAATAAGCATTTAAGAATATTTTTCTTGGATATCTATATGATCTCTTCTGGACCCTGATATAGGTGGCACAAAGGATACACCTGTTTGATCATAATATCACAATTCTATGAAAGCATAGTTTTGCTTAGAATTTTAACCTGAGAACATTTAACATTGTATTTTGCCCTCTAAGTAGTCTACTCACAAAATCCTGGCTGATAAAGGTATGTAGAGACAAAACAAAACAGATATACATGAAAACAATTTTCTGCCTTCAACTTAAAAAAAACACCCTGATTTGCCAATATATTGGTATGATTAATTGCTAATGGTAATATAAGGGATGGTGGTCTGAGCAAACATGAGCTAAGTGGAAGTAGATGTAAGACAGAGTCAAACTGTACTCAGACTATGGTAGAGGCAACAAAAAGGGATGAAAATGATGATAGTCACTGGGCTATAAGAAGGGGGAGATGGTGTAGTACAGTCAGAGTTGCAAGATTATGTTATTATAGCCCATATTAATAAAAGTAGTTTTAATCTTCTTTGGAGTTGATTCTTGGTCTGGTATACCTAATGAGACTGACAGTATGACTGGTAGATTGAAAATTGCCCCCCCCCGGAGAGAGACAAGTAATGAATGGTACTGCCCATTCATTGAGTGGGGAAATGAGAGGAAGACACCTGTCATATTATAAAACACTAGCAGCAGAGGAAGGTCAGAGGTTCTGTAAAAATTTGAGGGAAGGCTATTAGGAAGTTGTATAAGTGGGGTAGAAAGTAAGTATTGTGGGTAACTGCATGCATGATTGTGGTGAGGATTGATAGATGGATGTTTGGATAATGATTATGATTGAGGGGGGGTAGATGGTTGACTATAAATTGGACTTAGTGGTCCTACAAAAGTGCCCTTCATATTATGGCCAGAACCAGGAAAAACAAATAGTACAAAATGCTAGGATCATTGATGAGGGAGGGCAGAATTGAGATAATAACGAACAAAGAAATTTATTTCAGGAAGCACTGGATAGATGATTATAGGACAGTGGTGGCGAACCTATGGCATGCGTGCCAGAGGCGGCACTCAGCCCTCTCTGTTGGCACCCGCACCACCGCCACCAGCAGCAGGTCCATCAGGCCGCCACCGCCGCCCAGAGCAGAAGCCCCGCCCAGCACAAAGGAGGCGAAGCAGCCAACTAACAAGCTCGAGTAGAGGTGGTAGAGCAGAGGTCACCAAGCATTGTCGATTGGTGGACTGGAAGAAAAGGGAGGGGGAAGCATTTTACATGCGTGCATGCGTGCATGGGGCTACGAGCAAGCACCTGCTGCAAATGGGGTGGGGCTAGTGCCTGCTCACTAGCCCTGCCCCGTTCTTACGTGGTACAGCGCCTTGTATCTGCACCCCACGGCGCAGCAGTGGCCGTTTTTGCACCTTGCAGCACGGTGGCCCATTTTTGTGCCCCCAGTTTTTGCATGCCAGAGGCGCCTCCCTGCCCCCCCCAAGCTCACCACAATGCTGATGCATTCCTGGCACTTTGCAATAAATAAGTGGGTTTTGGGTTGCGGTTTGAGCACTCGGTCTCTAAAAGGTTCGCCATCACTGTTATAGGTGAAGGAAGACCCACACATGGGGGCAGATCTGTTCTTTTTAACCAGTTGTTCCAATCATGGGCTAAGATAGCTGAAACATTCTGTACCTTGGAGATATGCTATGCTGATGTTGTGCTGATTACCTTAGAAGACTATTCAGAAACTAGTTGACCCAAAATGAAACTACCCATTTATTGGCTGTTGCTTGGTGCCAAGGCAACTCAACTGCTGACTTTTATATTATTTGCTTCTGGGTGCAATTCAAAGTATTGATTTTAACTTATAAAGCCCTATGTGCTTGCCACTAAAATATTTTCAGGCTGCTTTCTCCCATCAGAATTGATCCACCAATCTGAATGTCTTGGGAGGAACTTCTAGTGATTTCCCATTTTTGTGAAGAAGGTGGGCTGAGGCTCATAGTTACTATTTTTCAATGGCTATGTTTTTGCTCTGGCATTGCCTCCAGGAATTTAGACTTTTTCTGGAGATATTGAATATAGCATATAATATTTCAGAGAGCTTGTGGGAATTGAAATAATGCTCAGGCGATTGCATCATAATAGTCTGCAATATTTGTCTTAATTTTTACCATGGACAATTGTATTATTGTTCTTTGTCTCTTATGCCTTCGTGATGGTTACATACCATGGAACATGCTGCTCCCTAGAGGGACCCTTGGCCCTCTCTTTTCCAGAATTCTGGAAGACACTGAAAATAACATTTTCAGTTAACTTTTGGTTCCTTGCAATTAAAAATAAACAACATTATTAATGTTTTAGTATTTTAATGATGCTCTAGGGAATCATATTTCTTTTGCTCTTGTTTTATTGATGAGTTTATTTACACTGCTGATTGGGGTAGTATAAAAATATTATGAAAAATAAAGACACCGAGAAAAAAATCATTAGCCACAAGGAATTTAACTGAAGGATCAAGAGACAAAAGCTTACACAAATAGATGAAAAAGATTTAGAAAAGTGAGAAAGCTCCACTTACTTTAAACAAGAGGAAAGAAACAAAACAAAACTGAAATATATAAACTATGTTTTTCTCTTCTAGGATTTTAAGATATTCAACCAGCACCAGTTTTTTCTATGGAATTGAAAACAATCAACGATGCATATTAACAAGCCAGCAACAGTTTAAATGAATATGTGGTCCAAGTTCTGCTTTTCTACTTGCCTTAAAAAAGATGCTTACATTTCTCTGTTGACATAGTTGAGCCTTTCACGTTGCAGTGAAATGGATTGGCTGTTAGCTACCAAATCACCCAGTTAAAAGGAAGATTTCAATAGTGACCAATTTTTTTTAGTTTTCAGTGGCATATTGTGATCACTCCTATTTCCTAGAGATGTGGACGAAGGGCTAGATCATCAACTCTGGACCAATGATCAGATTCATCCTTGGCAGCCAAAAGAAAGTTCACTTCCTCTCTGCCCTTTTCTCCCTGTCCAGTACAAAACCAAATATAAATTTACTACAGTTTAATAGAGAACTGCACAATTTTTAATAAAAAACTTGTTCTATATTTCTATCATGGCAGTTCTGTTATGGGTGGTAAAGCTTTTAATTTTTTGCTACAATGGATGTTCCCAACCCATATTGGAAGCCCATCAATAATATTCCTTGGCAGAAAAGAATCCTTTGAAATATAACCCAAACTAAGTTCAGAAAAGGAGCAAAAGTTTAATTTCCTCTGTCCAGATGCAGTTTTCCTGTTCTCGTTTATTCCTGAGTAAGGAAAACAATACATTTAACCTAAGACACAGTTTAATAATATGTGTAACTATAGAACCTCTGCACTTAATTTTATTTGAAGTTTTTTTGTAAAAGATTCTGCATATGTACATTATTTATAAACAAATGTCCTACAGGTATTTCTCACATTATTTTTCTAAAGTATTTGTAGAATACTTCTTTATACATACAGTATATCCATATAATATTTGTATAAAATATCATGCAGTATACTTGCCTATTAGTAACATGGATGTGCATAGTTCTGTGCTAAATACACAATAGCCAATCATGCTGCTACTATAATAGGCAGGAGACAACTGAATAGAGAAGTTCTCATCCATCAGACATATTCCCCGTTGTAAGTAAATATTCCCCCTTTTAAGTAGAGAATTCCAGATATATTTTGAGGTTAACTTTCAGTATTCTGTGTAATATAACTTATAGGGCTGTTCTGAAATGAGGAAAGAAACATACTTCACAGTTTAGATAAAGAACAGTTCTCATTTAGTGATCACAGCTTAGACCAGCAACTCGATTTTTAAGTGAACCGTTCAATAAACGAAACTGCACTGTGGGTACAATCTTACTTCATTTTTCTTTGCTTTACAGACCTGCAGGGCTTAATAAAATATAAATATTGGTTGTAATATTTTTATCAGGATCCCAATTTGGTGTAGTGATTAGGGTGCTGGTCTAGCAACCAGTGAGTTCTAGTCCCACCATGGGCGTGGAAGCTGGCTGGGTGATTTTGGGCCAATCACACACTCTCAGCCCCAGCCACCTCACAGTGTTGTTGTTGTGGGGAAAATAGGAAGAGGAAGGAGTATTAAATATGTTCACTGCCCTGAGCTATCTACAAAGGTGGGATAAAAACTTAACAAAGTAACTAAGTAAATAGGTGTGAATGGTCATTAAATGAGGCATTTGCTAATGAGGATTACCTGAATATTTGCTTACATAATTCAAAGTGCTGACTTTCGTTTATTTAATAAAAAATCATTTGTATGCAGTTCCAAAAATTCCTGGATGAACTTGAGAGAGTGCTTTCTCGGTTATTATGTTTACAATATTGGGCTATGTCATGGCTTATTAAATATTGGTTTGTTGAATAACCTATAATTGATAGGTTGACCTAGTGCACTTGGCCAGACAAACTCCATTATGGCTTCTCATTTAGCTTTGGACATCGACTTACTGAGTTTTCCTTACCATAGAAGTCTATGCCCTCCCAAAAATAAAAAGCCAAACCCACAGAAACCAAAAATCTAATAGTTTTGTTTCTGAAAACATGCACGCAATGATATTTGGCTTAGATAGCGCTTTGCTATAAGTTGATGTCGTAAATATAGTGCATCTAGGTTCATCTGCTTGCTTTGGGTGTGTTTTTACCTTTTAAAATCATGTTTAGCTTCATATATTATTGTTACTATGTTGTATTTTATTTTATGTAACTCTATATGTTACTGCTACTAATAGTACTGACTTTATTATCCAAAATATCAGTTCCTCTTGCATGTAATTGCACAAAAACACTCTCACTTTCTTTTCAAAAATGTCATGCTCTATTAAATTTCAGTTTACTGAAAGTGTTTTAAATTGTTGTTGTTCCATTCAAATGCAAGATATTTATGATGTGACTTTGTAAAACTTTTACACTAAGGCTCATTTTCCTAATCTGCTGGACACTGAGTATACAAATAGTTAAAACATTGATCTACAGAGAAAACAAATCTTTATAGCAGCAAGCCTATCAAAATATTTTAACAAAATACTTCAATACTGTTATTAGAATGTTCATCCAGAATTAGAAATGAACTATCCTACCATCCTACCATCTTGCATGTCCTACTAAGTAAATGTACTGCGGTTAAGTTAATGGAATAAATCAATCATTTTCTTCTAAATCACACCAGTTTGTATAAATGGGTTGAAGTGATAAAGGCAGGAAGTTGTGAATTTTGTAAAAATTATTTCCATTTCCTGGCCTAGATCTGGAGACAAGTTATCGTCAATGTCATTCTGGGTATATCACATTTTTATTTGCAAAAGTGGAACATAAACGCAGAACAAATATTTTTCATTGATGTGTTTTAGAATTCTATCAGTAAAACTGTTCAGAATTTGTATCGTATGTCAACTGTATTGAAAATCTCTGTTATAAGTTGTATTTTGCTTTACTTTTCTGCTATATGGGCTTGCTACACACCAAATATTCTAGAACATTTTGTATCAGCTTGCTAGCTCCAGGGTTTGAACTCCATGTATGCAGTAGTATTCAAACATGCAAATGAAAGTTCTGCAAAGATTTCATTATGTTAGCTGACATTAAAAAAATCTTCTTTTTTGTAAAAAAAAAAAAAGGGAGGAAAAAGGAGGATTTTTAATCCTCTTTTTTAATAAATAAATAAATAAATACAAAATAAATGAAAAAAGCATATAAAGAGCATGCATGAGAAATTTTATATTTACAAAAAGAATCCAGAAAAGGTGAAGTTGTTCCTGGCATCTATTTTCCAAAGAACTGACTCAGAAAAATATGTACAAAAGCTATTTCAAAAAGTCAAGTTCAAAGCAAATATCTGTTGAAAGCAAAAGAAAAATAGACAAATTGTTATCCAACTAATACCAGAATAAGCAAAAGCTTTGGAATTAAGTGATAAAGTAGATTAAGTAAAAAGAATCTAAGTTTTCAGATGCAACTGCTTGCTGTCCTTCCTCTCTGTGGATGGTAAGGCAGAGAAATTACTCTCTCTCAAGAAAGTTATACAGTCTTGCTTTGGAAAGATTGGATTTTTACAAGCAAACATTTCTTCCATTCCACAACTGCTACAAATCTTTGAGGTTCTGCCCTGCCCTCTAAAATAGGAACAGTGCTCTTTTTTTCCATACTCTAATCATGACATTTATAAATTTAGGCATGCAGAAACCTTGGGTTATATTTTCCTCATAGGGCAGAGCCAGTGATATTTCAGCACAGCACATCTTTTAGGAACAGATGTGATGTGATAGGATAGGATGGGATGGGATGCTTAAGGTAGGGTAGGGTATTAACAGAGGGATTCAATCAAGATCACATGAGGTACTAATACCACTCTAAAAAAGCCTTAGTAAGACTATACCTAGAATAGTGCAACCAGTTTTGGTCTCCACACTATAAAAAAGATGTGACTCTGGAAAAAGTGCAGAGAAGAGCAACAAAGATGATAAGGGGACTGGAGAATGGTTACAGTAACTGGACATGCCTAGTCTAGTAAAGAGATGTACCAGGGGAGACATGATAGCAGTGTTCCAATATTTGTCACAGAGAGGAGAGGATCAACCTATTTTTCAAAGCACCTGAAGGTCAGATAAGGAAATTGATCAAGAAGAGATTCAACCTGGAAATAAGGAGAAATTTTCTGACAGTGAGAACACTCAATCAATGGAACAGTCTGCCTTCAGATGTTGTGGGAGCTTTATCACTGGAAGCTTTCAAGAAGAGACTGGACTGCCATCTGTCAGAAATGCTGCTTGGGCGGGGGATTGGACTAGATGACCTACAAGGTTCCTTCCAACTCTGTTATGCTATTCTAAGGGTAAGATAGGACACGACAGGACAGGACAAGTCAGAATAGAATAATAGGGCTGGAAGAGGCCTCGGCAGTCTTCTAATCCAATCAACTAGTCCAGGGGGAGGCAACCTTGGCTCTTTTATGACTCGTGGACTTCAACTCCCAGAATTCCTGAGTCATAAAAGAGCCAAGGTTGCCTACCCCTGAACTAGTTCAACTAGTTTTGCAGAACTGCTTCTTAATGCAGCTGTATACAAACCATTAAAAGCTGCTATTTTTATAAAAGAACTTTTTTTCACCTCTTGGAGAGGTTAACCACTCTCACATAATGTGCAAAAATTCAGAAAACCAAAAGCAAACTTTGACTAGTAATCAAATCTGTACATTTCGTACACTTTGGGAATTTGTTCTTTTCAGACTGGTAAAGCAGAAGATTTTCTCAGCATTTTTGTTGGGCTCTGGGTGCCAAAGTTCATGAGAAATTTGCACTCATTTTGGCTCCTTTCCCATGTATGTTTGTTTCAAAGCAAATAGCAACAGATATGAACATGAATTACGTCAATTAAGAAAACATGCCTAGGGCATAATTCCTTTTAGGGCATAAATAAAATTTGGGAATCATTTTATGTTGTTATTGTTGGATTTCAAATATATTATAAATTTGCAGCAGTATATTAAAGTATAAAAGTTTAAAATAGAGAAATGGTATGTTTCTAGTCTGTGACTTTCCTCCCGAGTATTGCCCTGAGTAGTTCCCATTTTTAGAAGACTAGCAAGTCATGGGAAATATCCTCCCACTTGTAACAACAGAATAACTCTATCAGGTTTCAAAAAAATGTTTTCCATTTCATTCACAGCAATTTGATGTCAATTTATAGCTGATTATATACACAAGTGTTCCTATGTAGGACTACTCTTCCGATTTTAGTAAGGAGTTGCAGACTTATGTGTTTTTTGCTGCCACCTAGTGGCAGATGGAATTTTGCAGCCTGAATCTATCTACGGCAGGGGTGTCAAACTCAATTTCATTGAGGGCTGCATCAGCATTGGGGTTGCCCTTGGGGGACCGGGTGGGTGTGGCCAAGGGTGGGTGAGGCCTACTGAGTTGGCATGGCTGGGGTGGGTGTGACCTACTGGGTGGGCATGGCCAGCTCAATGTTGCTCTTGTCAGAGGTGCCTGTGGGGGCCTGGGCAGGATGGGGCAGATCCAAGGGTCTCCGGCAGAGGGGAATGAGACCGGGGTGAGCGCCAGGGCATGGTCTACTGAAGGAGCCTCACTGTCTCTCTCAGGACATGTGGGGGGGCTGCATGGTGGCACGGGCTGCCTGAAGCCCTGGGCAGCAGAGGTGAAACGCCCAGCCCGGCCCTTGAGTTCCCGTGGCACCTAGCCCAGCCCCACTCCCCCAAGGGGGTGCCTAGCTGCACTTACCTCCTCCTCAAGGTTGCTGCTATTGTGCTTGCTCTCTTTAGCAAGGTTGCTAATGGTGGGTGCAGGAGGGCAAAGTGAGTGGGTCAGAGGGAGGCCCACTCCCTCTCCATTCGAGGAGACCAGGCTTTGTAACCAAAGCATCCTTAGCAATACAATGGGAGACCTCCAAGATAGGCCAAGTGGAGGGGGAAAGGGGATGGCGAAAGGGCAACAGGGCAGGACTTTCCTCAGGCCCTCCCTCCCTTTCATTCCAATCTCCTTCCTTCCTTCCTTCCTTCCTTCCTTCCTTCCTTCCTTCCTTCCTTCCTTCCTTCCTTCCTTCTTCCTTCTTTCCTTCCTTCCTATTTCCCTCCCTGCATCCTTCCCTGCCTCCCTCTTTCTCATTCCTATCTCCTTCCTTCCTTCCCTTCCTTCCTTCCTTCCTTCCTTCCTTCCTTCCGTTTTCCCTCCCTGCATCCTTCCCTGCCTCCCTCTTTCTCATTCCCATCTCCTTCCTTCCCTTCCTTCCTTCCCTCCTTCCCTACCTACCTATCTACCTACCTACCTACTTACTTATTTAAGAACAGAGTGGCGGGAAAATATTTGAGATGAGGGAGGGAGAAAAACAAGCAAAAAACACAGCTGGGAAGGTGTCACCCTTCATGAGGAAT